CATGAATGAAAACCACCTACACTACAGCCCTTTTATATACCGGTAGTCATTTGACCAACGGAAATATTGTGTTTCTACATAGGAAGACAGGTTACAACCTTGTAACTTTGGCAACTGTTGGTGGGCCAAATCAAATGGCTTGGCGAGCCAAATTTGGCCCGCGGGCCCCATTTTGTGCTCCTCTGGTTTAAAGTGTCATTTTCTTATCTTACGTTTTGCGCAGGTCTTTGATCCAGCCGAGGAACTTCTCAGCATTGATCTCCTCGTCAATAATCGTGTAGTCCAAGCCTTTGTTGGGAAGCAGGACAAGCATGGAAACACCTTCTTGGTACGGCAGCTTAAGCACTCTGGCTCCCAGGGGAACGTCTTCTGCTGTGTAAAACTTGGCCTCCTCTTTAAACATCATGGGCACTTGCACAATATTGTAGTTGTCGATGTAAAAAGGCGCATTTTCTGTTAGATTGCAGTTGAAAGGCATTTGCCAGGCCCCTGTGTGGAGGATAGCATCGTTAGAGGGCAAAGGTCCACTCACAAACAGAAATCAATAAGCAATGACTCAACTCACCCTGGAAAAAAATGCTGTTGATAAGTAAGAGCTGAGTYGTTTCATCTAATGTCGAAACCATCTCTGGTATTTTGTTCTGCGTCTTCTGCTTGATGTATTCATTTATGAATCTGATGCTCCCTGTTGTGTCTGTAAAGTCTACAGTTTTGATATCAGCGTGAAAAAACGTCTTCATTCTGTCCGTAAATGTCCTTTGCACCTCAAACTGCCGATGTACGAAGAGGGCCGTGCTTTGCTCCAAGTTCAGAGATCCGTTCCGTGCAATGTTCTCCTGAAGGAGCTGAAAAAGCATCGGGATGAGCTCTGGCTGCTCGTCCGCCTCCAGCTGTTTCAGGTTCAGAGCCTTCAGGATCTCCTCGTGCGTGACGCCATCGGATGCCATCAGGAGAGCGGCAAAGCTCGTGGAGATGCTCAGAGGTGAGAAAAAGATGTTCTTGTCACTCGAGCTGGCTATTTTCCTGTATAGGTTCATGGCGAAATCTATGTTTTTGTAGGAGAGATCTGAGACGGTGACGTTCGGATGCAGTGTTTGATGGGTGGGAGTGAGGAAGCACAAACAGGTAAGGATGAAGATAAATGCCATCTTTATTTCGGACACTTCCATTCTTTTGAGTCCAGATGCGTTTGAGGGTTTAACCTGAAACAGGAAAACGTTAAAATGTTAAAAACACAGAACTAAAGCAGATGAAACTACCTCAGAAAGTCAAATCTTCTCAATATTCTTGATGAGAAAAGCCTGTTTTAACTGAAACACAGATTTCAGAGTTTAACATACATACATACCTTTCTGTTTGAGCCAGATGATCTTTGAAAACTTCATCTGTTATTTGGGGAGACAAAGTACAAGTGTGCTCTGATGGTTACACATTAACCAAATTTGGGGGGGAATATGGGAGAGAACTCCCCTTTCCACATCACAATGCTAAAATACTCCCCTTTGGTGTCTCTTAAAGCTTTAAATCCTTAATTTTCACATTTAAAYCTTTCAGTTGGGGTCTATAAAGTGGAACKGMAATGCATTGGTCTGAATTCCTCCACAARCTCCTCTTTCACCTCTTTTCTGAGGTGTGTCTCCGATCAGCTCATTTTGATGCATTCTTTAAATCCAAAGTGCTTCACAACCCGCCCCCCTCCAGCACCCAGACGAGCCCATTCTAGTWTGAAAGAGGGGCTTATGGTTATACAGCAAAATATTTTATTTAACAGACTTGTTCATCCAGTCTTACATGTTGGAGTCAGAGTCTGACCCAGAGCCAGAGACGATTAAAGAYGACCAAACTGTAGTTGGTAATTCCAGAACTTATTTGGCAGTTCTGTTGCTATAATTTGATGTAAAAAAAACATCAACTGAACAGGTTGAAAAATATGACCCAAACAGAAAATAAAGAGCACTGGGTGAGTCTAAAATAAAAATGTCTGCACTCGTAGAGACTCCAAGTACACAACAAAAATGCATTTAACAGTAAAAAAAAAAATTGGATTCCGCTAGTCCTCTTTTAAAGAGTTTGAGCTGAGCAGCAGAGTATTACCTGATCGTATTACAGGTACATGGGAGGTTGTGTTGCCGGTTCCCCGCCTGGGAACCGGCAACCCACTGGTTACAGGACGACTATCCAAACCACTCTGCCACAGTCATATTGTTTATTTTTTTATTTTTTGTAAATTGGGAGTATAATTTGCACTAATTATTTTAGGGGTGACCATTGCCCCTCCTCGCCTCCACTTGGTGGCACCCCTGCCCACAGCTAAGTATGCACTTTTTCCTATTGCAATGTCAAATAAAAATATATCCATCCATCTATCTATCCATCCATTTTCTGCCGCTTATCTGGGATCGGGTCGCGGGGGCAGCAGCCTAAGCAGAGACCCAGACTTCCCTCTCCCCAGCCACTTGGGCCAGCTCGTCCGGGGGAATCCCAAGGTGTTCCCAGGCCAGCCGAGAAACATAGTCCCTCCAGTGTGTCCTGGGTCTTCCTCTGGGCCTCCTCCCAGTGGGACGTGCCCGGAACACCTCACCAGGGAGGCGTCCAGGAGGCATCCTAACCAGATGCCTGAGCCACCTCAACTGGCTCCTCTCGACGTGGAGGAGCAGCGGCTCTACTTCCGAATGACTGAGTTTCTCTCACCCTATCTTTAAGGGAGAACCCAGACACTCTGCGAAGGAAACTCATTTCATCTGTTTGTATCTGCGATCTCGTTCTTTTGGTCACTACCCAAAGTTCGTGACCATACAGTAGATGATGGTAATAACGTAGACCGACCGATAAACCGAGAGCTTTGCCTTCTGGCTCAGCTCTTGCTTCACCACAACAGACCGGTACAGCACCCGCATCACTGCAGACGCAGCACCGATCCACCTGTCGATCTCCTGCTCCATTCTTCCCTCATTCGTGAACAAGACCCCGAGACACTTGAACTCCTCCACTTGGGGCAGGACCTCCTCCCCGAACTGGAGACGTCACGCTACTGGTTTCTGGCTCAAGACCATGGTCTCGGTTTTGGAGGCACTGATCCTCATCCCGGCTGCTTCACACTTGGCTGTGAACCGCTCCAGCGAGAGCTGGAGATCACGATCTGATGAAGCCAATAGGACCACATCATCCACAAAAAGCAGAGATGCGATCCTAAAGTCACCAAAAAGGATCCCCTCAACACCTTGGCTGTGCTAGAAATTCTGTCCATAAAAGTTATGAACAGAATCAGTGACAAAGGGCAACTTTGGTGGAGTCCAACCCTCACCAGAAACGAGTCCGATAAATAAAATATTTACAACTGGAAAATAAATCCTCACCTGCTTATCTACTATCTTCCACCACAAAGTTCAAGATAATTACCTTTTTATTATTATGTCTAAAAATACATTCAGGAGCAGCTCTTCAGGGTGTTGTCTCACCATGAACCATTAAATAACAAATGAACTTTGACAAACATAACATGAGTTAATATCACTTTAATCCTGAAACACTAACCAGTTTGTTAAATGAAAGACTGAGCTGTGCAAACATTAAATAAAAGCAGTACTTATTGTAAGAAAGGTTTTTGAAAATAATGCAGTGATAAAAAAAAAGATAAGGAAACAGACTACTGACATTTTAAACTCCCACACAAGTGCATTTGGAAAAAAAATACAGATGATCAAGAAAAACAGAAAAAACATCAGATCTTCCTGGAAATGATCGATCAGGTCCAACGTCACATGATTTCCTTAACTTTTGAGGAGGCATTAAAAATGTCAACGCGTAACAGTCACTGGTTCTAGGAAACAGTTTAAAAAAAGTGTGCTTGTGCTGTAATGTGGTCTATTCAACACACACACAAAAAAACCTTTAGAGTGAAACAAGATCTGGTTATAGATTTAAGCAATAAAATATACCCAAGTATTCAAACGTGTATAAACTTCAACACATTTCAGATTTTTCATCTCGTCCAGTTTGACTACTTATTAAGGTTATTAGTACTTGTCTCTTTTGTTTTTGAAGATCATCAGTCGACAAGACATACATCGTCTTTAACCCATGGCAACTTAAATGTAAACCAATTTACTTTTACAGTACGTTACCAGCAGAGTGCAATTAAAAAGTATTTGGGGGAGTTGTAACATGCAAGATTAAAGGGATCAGCCATTTCTGAGGTGTTTCTAAAATACATTTTTTGTTTGACTTTTATATCACTGAATACTTTTCTACAAATAGACATAAGAAACAAGTGAAATCAATGATTAAAAAGGCTGACTGGACATGTCAGACGATTTGAAAAGTAACTGATCACGCTGAGCAGGAGACAATCACTGATCCATCAGCTGCCCGGTCTCTACCCTCCTCCTACATCTCAACATAAGAACAGCTGAAAATCAATCAGTTTTGCCCAAAGTGACAAAACACCCTTAAATTTGTTTTATGTCCACTTGCATAATTAAAGAAAATAAAAATCTAAGAACATCAAAAATATACCGCTTTCTAAGAAAAAAACCTTGAGCTCTCTTGTAAATGCTCAGTGAAAAYGATGGATAATGTCAGTGATGGGTAGCCCAGTTATTTTAGTGTTTCTCACTGAAACAGAATTTAGTGCATCGCAACAGAAATGACTGAATCGTTACAAAACTACAGCGATATTCGGGTGTTTTAATTTGTCTCGCGCTGCACAAACCCATGTGCAACACAACAGTAGGAGGCTTCGTCGTTACATAAAGCTTTCTTCTAAACATTGGTCTCGTATTGCTTTCACAGAATGCCYGTCTTGTCATGTTTTCACCCCCAAACAAGTAAACACACCCTCTGTATGTTGTTTCTTTACACGGTTTTCAGAAAAAAAAGGAAAAAAACAAAACAAAACAAAAGCGGAATAACAAACTGTTTACAATAGAAATAGAAGGCGCCATGGTAAAAAGGCAATCGCAAGCTTGGATTCACTGCATCGTTAGTCCCAGTGGTMACACTGTTCCCAAACTCGGAGCGTCGCTCAAGGAGCTCCCTTCCTTTGTTCTCTTCTTTATGGCCTGCCAGCAAACTAACGAGGGGAGGGGGAACCACGTGTTAGCCTTCTGACTGTCCTTATGTTTGCATTATGCAAAAACGTTAGAAGAGGGAGCAAAGCTACCCCTGGGAGGGGTTTTCAATCCAGGCTGCAGGTAAACAACAGACAAACCTTCCACAACTTTATTGGCTAGGCTTTTGTTGTTGTTGGTCCTCCTCAGAGCCGGTGCTCACTGATCCTGGAAGAAACAGGGAAATGCAAGTTTAGAATGTCACGAGACAAAGACACATTTATAATTGGGGTTGGGCAGTATTGCCTTTTTTTAAAACATTATCTGTATTATTATTATTATTATTATTACTTGTGTGTGGTCTGTGGCATGTAGTATTCTCGAAGTTGGCGTGATGTCAGTCAGTCACGTGATTTCAACCTCCATTTTTTTATGGGGGAAAACTCATTGTGATACTCCATTACAAATTGTGTCAAAAGTAGAGACTTCAAACTATACAGCAGTTTTTAAATTGTGTCGATAGGTCAAGAGAAGAAAACCAGAGTTACAATAAATGACATATCTTACAATTTTTTTCTGAAAATGAAAGTTCTATTTTGAAGCGYGYYGYAGCTGAAGGGAGCAGGAAACAYKGTAATCTTGTGGAAAAAACACMRCTGTCCATCRTCAGTCCCGTCTTTCTCTTAAACYGAAAAAATATAACCCCCCAGAMCTTCTTTTTGACTGAGGCTCAAAGTTATCTGACAAGCAGTAAAAAATCTAAGGGAAAAAGAAAATAAAAAGAGGTGAAATTTGAATGGAGATTGGTGGCAATGAAGAGCYGGTGAGAGCAGGACTTTATTAATTAGATCTGTGACTTTTAACATGTTTGRATTTTAAAGTTARTGTGTAGTTTTGAGTGTTTACTCTTCATTTTAGCCRRCTTTARCGTGTTTTAAATCAAAACAAYGAGGCAATTCTTTTTAAACTAGGAGAAGCACGGAGGTCTGCAGAGGCAGAACGACAGCACGCGTCTTAATTCTTTCCCCTCACTCCTGCAGTTAGAAAAAAAATATCTCTGGATGTATTTTTACGTGAGAAGTGCAGTCCTACAGCAACTTTTCACCATTTTTTCTATTTTCCACATAGAGGAACTCATCCTATTTCCCCCTAAACCAATAAGTCAGCCTCCGTTTACAACATGGTCATGTGACAGAGTACCCGGCTGTTCGACTTTGAGAATCACTTAGCTTACCTTTCTTTGTGCTTCCTTTCTAAGTGACAAAAGTTTGACGTAATCCCGACTGTCTCTGAAAGCTGCAGAATGTATAAGTCACTGTACGCTTTCCCCTGGATGTTGTTTTACAAATACAGTATATTCTTTATGATTTATGCAGCTGAATTGTACTACTGAACATTTTGCATCCACTCCCAGACCACCACTGCTCACTTTCTTGGAGTGCTGTGAGCGAGTGAAAGGAGGTGGGGATGGGTGAMAGCGGTAACAAAAATACATAATTAGCAATGAGTCATACTTAGATTTGAATCAGTGCGTTTTAAATCTAATGAAAGCAAGGATGTTAACAAATTAATTGGAAAATATTCTGGCAATTTAGTGATATTTCCATAGTTGTGGTTTTGACTGGTCTTGAAATAAAATCAAAACTTCTCAACGTCCAAAACTGAGACAAGACTGAGTACAAATGCAATTGAGTCCGAGACGAGATGAGACGGTCAAAAAATGGTCTTAAGACTACTACTTAAGACTACTACGACTTAAGAGTACTACAACACTAGTGAGGTGTTGTAATTAGTAATTAATGGGGAAATGGCTGCTTGTGAGAATTATGCATATGGCTTGACGTTCTAGAGYCAGACAGAGATATGGAAAACCCAGCTGCTCTGACATGTTGCTGTCACTCAATCTGCTGATAAAAGCTGCGGGAATCACAAAATACCTTTTGCCCTCTTTTGTGTTGCACAGATCAAAGTACGTCCAAGTAGCTACGTCTTTTTAGGGTGTACGTTATGGGTCTTTTTCTGAAAGAGCCTAGAATGTTTATGTCCCAGTTTTCATAGCRGCGTTGTAGAAATTTGTTACATCACCTTATGTGATTTATATACCATCATACCGCCCAAGCCCATTTATAACACAAGTTGTGTTTTTGTGAGTCAGATTTGCTCACCTGAATCACTTGTTGAATGTGCGTCTGATTGTTGAGGAATGTTTGGCTGTTGCTGCTGTCTAAACCGTGAACACAGAGGATTTACATCACAACAGATGGATCAGTTTTCTATTCTCTTTAATGGTGGATACAGAGTGCTTTGACTTGAGGAAATTTGCTGTTAGTTTATGGATCCTACCGATCAAAGTAGGCTTGTCTCCTCTTCCTCAGCTCCTCAGCTGTAAGTGTTTCATTTTGGATTTCTTTTTGTCCCCCCGCAGGCTGGCTTTCTGCCTTTAYGTTTTCCACTTCGCACTCTGTAGACTTGTTGGTCATTGCTGCTCCTACAAAATGAAACAAAATGTGTAAAATAAAAAAAAACAACTTAAATAAAACNCTGTAGACTTGTTGGTCATTGCTGCTCCTACAAAATGAAACAAAATGTGTAAAATAAAAAAAAACAACTTAAATAAAACTAGAAAATTAGTTGATTTTTGCACCTTTATAAGTTCAATTTAGAAGAAAAATTGGTTTTGAAATTTAAGTACGGCTCATCCTTCACCTTGCATGCTGAGCTGTATGGCTCTACGAAGATCAGCATCTTCATCTTCCACATCCATGGCCTGTCTGCTGAGTGCCAGAGCTCGCTTTAGCTCTTCATCTTCATCCACAGCCTCATCTTCCACACCAAACCCCATCTCTGTCTGGCCTACAGCGGCTGACCTCCTGCTCACAGTAAAAACAAATACAAACACGTGCCACAACCGACTTAAGTTTATTTTAAGTAAATCAAAACATCAGTCCCAAACGCTCACACATACGTACCCTGCACTAGTCTGGGCTTCTTCCTCTCCAATGAGCCTGGGCCGCTGCTGCTGATGAACCCTCATAATCCCAAGAATTTGCTCAGCCTCACACTCAGGGAGATTTCCTCGAATCACAAATATGGAATAACCTGTGCAAATACGCATTTTTAAAAAAAATTTCTGCTAAATCTATACATACTGTGAATAAACAGCCATTTTACAATACCTTCTTGTTGTAGTTGTGCGAGGAAAAGTGCTAAATATGTGTCTGATATCAACTCTGGTCCAGTCAACAGTGAATTCAGGTTAAACCACTGCAATTAAAACAGAATATCATTAATGGTTCTGATCACGTTTTAAAAAAAAAGACATAAAACATAAATCAGTGCCTCATACCTGTTGTCCAAGTTTGCGTATAGTAAACCAGTGCTCCTTATAGTTGCAAATAAAGGCTTTCTCMTTTCTAAAATATTAAAGAGAATCAACTTTAAAATTTTTACATTAAAATTACACTACAAAGTTTTCACACTGAGACCATACACTGGATTTATCATGAGGCTTTGATACTCCCGGCTATTGAAGAGGATTAGTTCCAAGCCCCAGACTCGGAGAGCRTTGCTAATTACCTTGTAATGAAAAAAAATGACACAAAAGCGATATCACTAACATGCATAATTTGTATTTAAGAGCTCTTTAAAAAAAGGCAGGACTTGTGAACATACTTGTATTGAAAAGAACCCACTGTCATCCATGTTCCCAGAGGGTTGCTATGAACAGAATTTTCATATAAAAACAATATAAATATGATGTTTATAGCATAATTAAAGAGGCTACTGCATTTACTCAGTTACCTGTAAAAAGGTCCTGTATTCTTCACTGGATACACCCCCCTCTGCCATCCTCATCCTCTCCTCTTCATCAAGCTGATGAGCAATAGATGACAGATCTACAGGAGTAAAATACTCACCCTGCAAAAGGTTGTTCAGGCAGTGCTGGGCACAGAGGGAGCCCTCTTGCTGCAAATAAAATTATCAGCCATGTCAAAACATAAATGCACATCAATCCCTAACATTGCATTAGAGCTGTATAAGCTTTGTTTCATTTTATCTAGCTGCCTGGGACAAAAGATGCTCAACCAAAACAAGTGGCTCTACATTAGATTAGCAGTTAGCCGAACGGTGATTCAAACAACAGCGCAAAATTAAGCTAGCTTGTTGACTAACAAGACAAGAAAGACTTAACTGAGACCATTACAGAGCATTTTGAGAAACTACTACCAAATCAATGAAAAACTTTTCACAGCATCTGACAAGCAAGTGAATTAGCATTTTAGCAATGTATGTAACAACTCTGCCCAACACCAGCACAATGTCCCAGGGACGGCCACTTTCCGCCGCTAAACGAACCAGCGACACAAGCGCCGACATTTTCCAAACAAACGAGGGTAAATACGTGCATTTAAACGCCCTAGATTCAATGTTTTGTCCTACTTTCTCATGAAATATGGAATCCATTTTCAGCTCTCTGTCAAACATTCAACTTTGACCTCCACCGCTTCGTCACCAGTAAAAGAGGAAACGATTCGTTTGTTATCGCCTCCTAGCGGCGGAATTTTCGCACTACAGCGCCGTGTTTGAGGTTTGCTCCCAGACTAAAGAAATATGGCGGAGAGTGAGAAATCCGCAAACGGTCTGGAGCTCAGTAAGGTAGGATGTTCTTTAAAGCAAATACAGTTGACAGTGTTTACTATGAGTTGGGGACAAAACGCAGGAGTGCAATGTGTTAATTCCTACGTATAAACACGGTTTGAGCGCTCCGCGGAAGAATATACTGCACTTACCAAGCTCCTAGCTCCCAAAGCTAGCTAACTAGCATTATGCTATGTTGTTGCCCACTATCGGTGACTTTACAATTAATTTGGGTGAAAAATTAGCTTGTCTCATTGTTGATTTCTTTCGATTTGTGATTCTTTACTGGTTGCTTTTGTCCAACGCAATTCAACCTGACTTTGTCTTTGTAAATTTTGAGCATTAAATGTTTTCAGTGTCGTATTCTCTCTGTTATCTTTACCAGTGTGTGAAAGTAAAACTGATCTTGCTTCTTTATTCTAAAAAAAATACAACAATAGAATGCCTATTTAGTTTCACTTTCGTATCAAAGATGATTGAGATGATTTTGCAATTTGTTTGGAATTATTCTAATCTTTAAAACTAACAACTTGATAAACAGATTAATATTTAGCGCATGCATTGTGC